AAATCAAGAACTAGCTTTGGTTACATATCTGCATGTGTAGACTATTAAAAGTGGCAAATTTTTTGTACACACTTAACAACTTAACACAACATCACTAGTTGTTATTGGATTGTATAATTTGTTTTAAGCAGTAAACACAAAGTATAAGTACTTATCAGCTTATAACTTTGAGTGTTCAACTATTTAACGGAGTTGGATAAACTAATATTTGTACAGCCAGATATTGCTGAAACCCACACCTGTGGATCTTCACACAGTTTTCATTGTCGGGATTTTTATGTTTGGAAAACACAGATGTTGATTCTCTCATGGATTTGTCACTATAAGCGGATTTAGCAGCAATACCTCCCTTATCGAAAACAACTCGTTTGGATTTCCAAATTCGAGTGTTTGATCCTTCCTATTAGCATTACTGTTTGTTTTATTTTGGCTATTCAACGATCTGTTTAAAAATATTGGATCAAAATTAATTGGAAATGACAATGCAATCCACATAATAAAGATGACTTAAAAAAGTAGAATCTATTTAGAATTAGAATAAATAACAACTAGTTGTAAAAGACATACTCAACAGTATAATTTTAAGTCCATTCATATTAAATAAGTTAAATATAGCAAACAGGGACTTGAGGTTATGAACTTGTTATTTATTCCAAGCCAGAACCTGTTTTCAAACTCTAAGTCTTTAAGTATACTTTGTCAAAGTTTTGATCTGATTGTCCCTGAGAATTTCCAGGTGCAGTTTGCAAAGCTTGAAAATTATCTGAAAGATTGATTAATCAGTGATTCAAATTAAATCTAAGTACCCTGGTGTGAATTTATAAAAATAGTTTAGAAAGGTTGGTTGTCATTCTATTTGGTAAAAAATCTTGTGAATGGCAATTTCCAAATATGTTTGTAACTTACATTAAACATTTTAATACCTAATATACTTTTTCGTTTCATATATCTTTATAGTGTATAATGTCCGTTCTGTTTGCATTAGATAACTTTCCATTTTATGTTAACTATGCATACAGGGTGACTAACTTAACTATTCCACCATTAGTATCTTGGAACTTAAGATTTAGATAATTCTTTAACATGGGGACTTCACCTAATTTCTTATAGAAAAAATAATTCAATTTTTTTGTAAATTTCTGCTATTACTTCCCAAAATTGAGACTAAGATTAAACGTTCCTATGATACACCCTGTGTTTGATGATGTTTTTAGAATTTAAATGTAATTCCAAGATATTTTAGTTTGCCTTTTTTCTTTAAGATTAACAGTTTGGTAACCATAGAATGTTAACGATTGGCTAAGGATATGACAGCAAGCCACCCCTTCCAAAAAGTACCTAACCAAGTATAAGCATGGAGAAACAAGTAATAAGTAAACTGAAAATTACATTTAAATTTTTAAAACATAATCAAACACAGGCTGTTCCATACAAAATTTAAAATTAGCTGCCATATTGTAAAATATCGACCATTTATGATCATCAAATGGAATTCATTTTTTGGATTTGAATAAACAATCTTGTAAAGTCCGTTATTTAAGGGTTTTCTAAAGATATGATTCTAAGATACTGGGTACTAATTATTTAGATTATTAACATTTGAAGAAAATCGTCAAATTTGTTGGTTTTTCAGATATTTGTGCAAGCAAGCAAGCATATATACAGGCATACAAGTTTTATACATTATACAAGCAAAAATAAAGCAATAAAGAGATAACCAAAACAGATTTTCGAAGGGAGACCAATAGAGGAACTAACAAAAGTGTGAAAATACAAATGGAATCCTCTTCACTCCAAATTGGAGGGTATTGTTGTCAAAAGCAGCTTATCCTGTAAAGGGGAGGGAAAGAGTGGGAAGGGAAAGGGGGATATGTACAACATGTGATTTACCACCGAAAATTGGTTCTGTATCCACAATAACTTTTGTTGGGGTGGAGTATGGTAGCCTAGCAATCCCTCCCTTCTTTTGCTCCAATGACCTTTAGCATTGTTGATATCAGACAGATGATGGCAATAAGACTCCTTATGTTGTCTGTGAAAAATACTGGCTTTGAATAAGAGTGCTGGTTCTTTCATTCAATGATTTAGACATCTTTTAACAAAAGCAGAAAACTGTTTATATTTTCTTTGCTTTTATCTATGTTTCCTTAAAATCTACATGGTTCTGCTTCTGTTGGTTTATGTGGTTTCTTTGAAGAAATACAAAAGAATATTTACACATTTTCTACTTTAACCTACTTATTTTTATTTATTTCTGTACTACTTTTCTCTGCTTCTAACAATTTCCATCTGTCTATCATATTGTTTCTTTTCTATGCCCAAAAGAATTTGGTCGAACAATCAAATAAAGGAAATCAGTACCAATAACAAATTAGAGGTTACCAACTTATTACCATATATCTTATGACATACTTATTTTCTGTTATAACAAATAAATACAAAGAAAACATAGCTATTATTGGTAGGTACTAAAGGTACAATGTAGTATAGTTATTAGGCCAGAAACACTGTAAGTAATTACATATAAATAAGAAAATTTAAAAATTATAAAGCTGAATCCAAGGTTGTGTGCCTTTGAAACTTTGCCTCAACATTTCAGAGGTAACAGTATGACAACAATCATTACCTATCTGCTCCACAGTTCAAGACTCTCTGCTTCACACATAAACATCTGCCTGTCTCCATTTTGCTTTATTTAAATAACAAAAGTAGTATCAGACTCACAAGCATTTGTGATGGTCGCTGGTTGACTCTCAACCTCTCCCCGCGAGGACCACGCCACACACTGACACTGGAACCTGTCCTTGCCGAAGTATTCCTCCACCATGTTGCGAGAGATGTTGATGGCAGTCTCGACCACCCGGACACCCGTCTCCGGGTCTACAAACACTTGCTGGGGCAACTGTCTGTGGTAGGCTTCTCCGCTACACTTGAAAAATACCTGGAGCAAACGTGTCAGCAATCAGCTGTGAATTATTGTTGGTAATTTCCCTATCAAATGTCCATCTACGGGTCTACAAACAACAAACACTTGCTGTAGCAACTCAAAATTTGAAAAATGTTATGAGTGATTATGGACATAAAGATACTATAAAACATGTTCAACATTTTTATAGAGGAGTGCAGTCGCATAGCCAAGGGGGGGGGGTTTGGTGGTAATTTAAAACTGGTGACAACTTTAAGATGGGAATGGCATGTGTTTTTCTATCGATAATCAAAATGTTATCCTTACCCCTTTTGTTATGAAAAGAAATGTTTAGAAACCAAATTTATATGGTTTTATTCAACTTAATAGTCAGCTACATTTTACATGAGAGAATTGCACAAAACTGTAAACATTACATACATAAACAAAACAGTCTTAAATAAAACAGCTGAATAAATATTTGACAGTACAAAAGGAATCATATTACATAACATTCACCCCATCTTTTTTTTAAATGTAATCTCTTAGATAGGTGGGAGGTCTTCGGACTCTAGTGGAACGACGCAGGTTTGTTTCTTCGTTATCCCTCACAGAAGTAGGGGTCACGGTCTCATGCAGAGGGGATGTTTCGATTTCAGATTGAATAGAGAATTTCAGGTTGAAGCAGATTTGATTCACGTCTCAGGTCTTGAAGAGCAGGATCTAGTTCTTGACTGGGATTTTCCGAAGTCACTGGCTCATCCTCTTGTTGGATAGCTTCAGGAGGAACAGCGAGATGTCGCACCGATACCAGAGCCTCTCTACCATCTCTATACTTGATGCGAGCATAGTCTGGATTAGCCTCTATCAGCTGAGCTTGTTCCACTAAAGGTTCATATTTGTTATTTCTTACATGCCTTCTCACTAATACTGGTCCTGGATTCATGAGCCATTGAGGTTGAGAGGTGCCATAAAATGATCGTCTCTGGTGTTTGAAAAGTCGTTCATGTGGGGTCTCATTCGTAGCTGTACATAGTAACGAGCGTATACAATGCAAAGCTTCTGGCAAAACATACTCCCACTGTTCTGTCTTCAGTCCCTTGTTTCTCAGAACAAGAGATACAGTCTTCCAAATCGTTCCATTATATCGCTCAGCTTGAGAATTACCTCGAGGGTTATAAGGTGAAGATCGGCTAGTGGCGATTCCTTTAGAGTGTAAGAAATCACTCAGTTCTTTTGACATGAAAGCAGAACCTTGGTCGGAGTGGACAAAAGCAGGCATACCAAAGATGGTGAAGATTGATGTAAGTGCTTTGATGACAGAAGATGCTGATGTGTCCGAGCAAGGAATAGCAAACGGATATCTTGAAAACTCATCAACAACCGTGAGTATGTATTTATTCCTTGTCACAGATGGTATTGGCCCCTTAAAATCAATGTTAAGTCTCTCGAAAGGAGCCATTGCATGGATGAGTGTTGATGGGGTTTTTTGGTAGAACCGAGGTTTCACTTCCGCACAAACAGAGCATGAAGCGGTCATTCGCCTGACATCTTCAATAGAGTAAGGGAGATTTTTACTTTTTAAGAAATGAACCATTCGTACTATTCCAGGATGCCCAATGTCACAATGAATTCTACGGAGTTTTTCAAAATCTCTACAAGAGATGGAAGATGAAACTCGTGAAAATGCATCTGCTACTACGTTTTCCTTGCCAGAACGGTACACTATGTCATAAGAGAAAGGTGCTAGTTCCAATCGCCACTTTAAAATCTTGTTGTTCTTAACCTTTCCCGCGTGTTTCTGATTGAACATATATGACACAGATTTCTGGTCTGTAATTAATTTAAACCGTCTTCCAATCAGGAAATGTCTCCATTTCTGTATTGAATCGAATATTGCGAGGGCCTCTTTTTCCACAGCAGGTAGATGTTGTTCACTCTTAGTTAGGGTTCTTGAAAAGAAACATATTGGCCTTCCAGCTTGTGAAAGGGTAGCCGCTATAGCTGATTCAGATGCATCTGTTTCTACAGTAAATGGAATATTCTCTTCAACTGCAGACATACTGGAGTTCGCTATTTCTTCTTTTAATGTCTTAAAGGCCAATATTTCTTTACTGCCTACTGGGAATGATTTGACTGTAGTAAGGCAATGAACCTTTTCAGAGAATTTAGGAATCCACTTTGCGTAATAGGACAACATGCCAAGAGCTCTTTTAAGGCTTGCATTATTGGTTGGAACGGGGAAATTCAAGAGTGATTGCAGGCGGTCAGGATCAGGACGCATGGACATGTTTTCTACAATGTACCCCAGAACTGGAATGCTGGTCAACGAAAACTTAGATTTTTCTTTGTTCAGGGTAAGATTATACTTTTTAGTTGCTTCCATGAATCTCTGTAGGTTTTGATCGTGTTCTGCTTGGCTACGACCACAAATAGTTACATCGTCCAGATAAGCAAACGTGTCTAGTAGATTTTCATTTTCTATAATCTGATCAATAGTTCTTTGAAAACACGCCACACCATTAGTTACGCCGAAAGGAATTCGAGTGTATTGGTAAAGTCTCCCATTAGCTTCAAATGCAGTGAATGGTTTATCTTCATTCCGAATAGGTATTTGGTGATATGCCTCCTTCAGATCGATTGTACTGAACACTTTGTATTGAGCAAGCTTAGAGACAAATGATTCAATGTGAGGTAGAGGGTAGGCATCAAGCTGTGTGAATTTGTTGATGGTTTGAGAGTAGTCAATACAGAGACGTCTCTTGTGCCCATTGTTGACCACAATCACTTGTGCTCTCCAAGGTGATTTACTCGGTTCAATTATTCCTTCTGATATAAGCCTACTTACTTCACTTTTTATGAACTTCCTATCATCTTCAGAGTAGCGGCGGGACTTGATGGCTACAGGCTTGACGTCATTAGTTAGATTATCAAACAGTGGTGGTGGTGATACTTTAGCCCTAAGTAGATTGCAAACATTGAAGGGTGGGCGTTTACCACCGAAATTCAGCTCCACAGCAGAATGTTGCCGAAGGATGTCATGTCCAATTACAACATCGGCACATAAATCAGTTAAGATGAGCAGCTTTGTCAGTGGGTATTCGTGGCCATCGCACACCATGTCAACAATACAGTGGCCAAGAGTTGATGAAACATGACTTGTTGATGCCATCGATATTTCATGCTTTGTTGGGTATTTAGAAATATTGAATCTTTTCACAGTAGCTTCAGATATAAAACTGTCGGAACTCCCAGTATCAATGAGTGCATCTACTGGTTTGCCGTTTAACATCAGTGACACTGTAGCTTTTGAAAGACATTTTTGTGAGGCAGCAACAAGAGAAGAAGACATTGAGTTTATTTCTGTCTTATCACTTTGAGTTGTTTTACCCTTAAATGTCCTACTTTGGTTGCGAGAATTGCAAACTGTTGCCCAATGGCCTTTCTTGTCACAAATATTACAAACTGAGTCTTTGGCAGGACAGTTGGCTCGAGAGTGTCGTGACCGTCCACAAAAGAAACATTTTTCTCTTCTTATCGAGGATAATTGGTGTGAAGACGAATCAGAAGCTGCCTGAGAAACATTTGTATCAGTAACATCAACATCTTTAGGAGTTGACTGAGATATAGAGTTACAAGGGCTTGAAATATATGAAACCGCCTGATTTTCAGCTGATTCCAAGGTAATGGCTTGAATATAAGCTTCTTCAAGAGTCAAAGTTAGATTTTCAAGAAGTCTTTGTCGAATGGACTGTGATATTAGTCCTCGAATGAAAGCGTCTCTTATGTACTCGTTGCGATTTTCATTAGCAGTGACAGATTTAAAGTTGCATGCTTTACTAAGTTCTTTTAGTTTTCGAAGATACTGATCAATATTTTCTCCAGGTTCCTGTCTTCTAGTGGCCAGTTGATGACGTGAATATACCTCATTAGTAGGCTTTATAAAGAGTTTGTCAAGAATAGATATAGCTTCAGTATAAGAATCAGCCTCTGAGATTATTTCATGTATGTTGTAGTCCACAAAATTAGTTAGAAGTTTTAGTAGATCATCTTCTGCAGCACATATTTCTTCCACGAAATTCTTGAAAGTGGTTTTCCAATGTTTCCACTGACGATCAGAATGGGGATCATTAGGGTCTAAAGATAGGCGCTCCGGCTTGAAGAATTTATCCATTTAGATTTCTTGGAATAAACTTGAATAGAAAAGATAGAATACAACTTGTATAGAAGAACTTGTAATAATATAGTTAAAAGATTAAGTTGAATAAATTGTTATGAAAAGAAATGTTTAGAAACCAAATTTATATGGTTTTATTCAACTTAATAGTCAGCTACATTTTACATGAGAGAATTGCACAAAACTGTAAACATTACATACATAAACAAAACAGTCTTAAATAAAACAGCTGAATAAATATTTGACAGTACAAAAGGAATCATATTACATAACACCTTTACACAGTGAAATGACGTACACATTAAGTGCATATTTCAAGGCACACAAAGGATACCTACAGATAGAACGTAACATATAAGAAAAGAATTGCAATAAATATCTTTAACCATCATAATTTAGTTTAGTGATGTTTACTGAGAAGATCAATTGTCACATACCTGCAAAGCATGTGCTGATCTACAGTAGAGCACTGCAGGTTTATTTTTCATGGCAAAAGTGTCTACAGGTTCCTCTAGAAATACTGGCAGATGTTCGGAGCTGAATGGAAGATCCAAGGAACCTTCCAACAGATCCATATTGTCTTCCACATCATCCGAGTCAACTGGAAAATACATTGAAGTAAAAACTGTTAAGGAAGAATAACTGTTACATTTTTAAAGTTTTGAGGAAGAGTCATTAAAGGGTCTGAAACACTCAGGACAACGTTTTAGCCTCAATATTACCATTGATAGCCAAAGTTATTATTAATTTAATCTGAACTATCAAATTTTTTTTAGATGGGGAACCATCCCTAACACATAGCAGATGTTGACACACACATAGTACACATAGTACACATAGTATGTGTTGACACACATGATGTAGCACATAGTAGATCAAATTAAGCTGCAACTGCAACTTTAGTCCAGTTTGCAATTGACAAGTTCTTAAAGAGTACTTAAGTCCTTTTGATTGACTGTCAAGAATTTTTGTTTTACCTTAACTTTAAAAAATTCCAACCACCCTAGTATTGTATATTGTAAAAATTAAATACAATGCCTACCAATAACATTTTGGCTTAACAAACAAATAAAAGTTGAATTTTAAACTTAATATTCATCCATACCGATACCAAGCACACAAGATTATTGTAACTCTATTACATATTGAGAAATTTACCAAGGGATTAAAAACCAACATCATCTTTCTTCAAATAATGGATTAAAAAAAAAATTATAAAACCAATAAACTATAAATGTTTGCTGTCAAATTACTAGAGTAACCTATAGACAACATAATAAGTAAGACAAAATGATGAAGGTACCTTTGTTAGACGATGTCACCACAAAGATGCAACATAAACAAAGCACGCCCGTGACAAACATGTTTCCGTGGCTCACTTTACATGTTGAGAAGATCAGTAGGTAAGTGCTCAAGTCTTGTTACAAACTACCACTTAGGTGTGCTTCATTCTCAAGATTATACCCTCAGCTTCTGAAACATAAGAAATACAAGTGAACATATTGAGTGTTGGTATTATCAAGAAGTAACAAAAGTTTGGCATGGTTATTATTATTATTACAGTAGTTATTATTAGTTGTATTGTTTATTATGAGATAGCTGTGCCAGCTAAATGTGTATATTGAGCTGAATATAAGTGCAAAATAAGTGCAGAACGGATCGAGATGATCAGTGTAGCTCTGTTACTGAGCTATTCAATGATTCTTGAACCATCTCCCCAATGATCAATGACAGCTGGTCCCAGTTTTAAACAATTAAATTACTACTCGTTCGAAAATAAACCTTTAGGGTAACTATAACTTAAAAATTTCCAAAAATCCAAAGTCATAGCTTCAAACAACCAAAATTTCCAACTTTTCACAGATGATTGTGCAGATTTTGGCAGATCTTGGTTTTTGACCAGGTCTACTCATTAATCTATGCTATAATAAAAGTGGTTGATAACTAAATTTTACCATAATGTAGCTTTTGGTGAAGAGAGCTCTCCTTTCTACAGAAGTTTGAAAGTAGATAAACACAAAACACTTGTTTTCTACTCGCTAAATATTTAGTTACTCGACTCACACGTTCTCTTTTACTCATCATACCGCAAACGCTCAATATGGTATGTTAAACAAACAGGATCACTTTGACGTTTGAATAAAACGAGTATGGTAATGGATAACACAGCATTTCAGAGATAATACTACAAAATGTACGACAATATACTAGTTGTAGGAATGACACAGAAATACAGCGAACTATCATCAAAACATATAACATTTTCATATCAAATTATTTTGAGTTAACAAAGTGCTCTAAAACAGCAACAACTTTTTACATCTGAAATACCTAAATAACCTTTATCGTTTTATAGATAGATGAACATTTAACTCAAGGTTTATAGATGCAATACATCCGAAGGTGAAGCTGGAGGGTGCCAATTAGGTTTTGGCTCTCCGCATCATCCCTTGTCAAGGCAGGCTAGTATACAGAACTTGACAGCTACCTAATAGAGAGTCGCAAGGCATTTTTAAATACCAGAATTCTGTTCAGCCAATGGCAATATTTGGACCCTGAACTCACGGTCAAACCACTACCTCAGTCTTGTTCCTCGACACTACAAGGAATAATATTTCGTGGAATACAACAATTGGATTGCCAGAATCAGGTATTTAAACCATTATTATTAGTTATTCATCGCCATCCGGAGGTTACTCACACTACAATGAAGATTAATATCTGTTTGGACTTTTTTAGATCTTCTGAATTTCTTTGCAAGAGGTTATAAAAAGGTACCAAACATATATATTCTAGTTAGTTATGATTTTAAAAGCTGGTAACCACATTTAAAAATTCAATTCACATTATTTAAATGTATACAACGACTCGTGGAATAAACACAAAAATACGAACACTTATATCGTTCTTTGAAACCATAAATTAAAACAGGTATACACATACACAACCCCGTGTCTTTGGTTTGTTACTATGTAATTAATGATAAATAAAAAAGTGAATAAGACCTAATTATGGCTAAGAACAATGCTGATAAAAATGTTTCTTTTATTATAACTATTACCGTACCGGGGAAAGCAAGTTTTTAAACATAGACATGCAAACAAAACAATAGTAAATCATAATATTGAGTAAAACTTTTATTCCAAGAATTTAAGTCATAACTTCACCCTCCATTTTGCTGATCCCTACTCTCCCAAGCTACTGTAACAGACAACACATATCTGCACCAGACTTATCAGAGGGTTTTCAGTTCATTAATCTTTAGTAAAAGAGATACAGTCTATCGTGGACAAAACAAACACAATATATCAATCTACCAAACAATTTGAGAAAAAATACAGTCGTGTAAGATAAGAAGAACAATAAGAAATGAAACTGCACCACATACAGCATTTCGTAGTATAAACCTAGTATAACCGAGTGTTATGAAAAATATTGTTGGATTGTTCAATTTATAAGATTTTTTTTCATTTTAAAGCTCTACGAGCTGTTGGCCCGTCCTACGTACGGGAATCGAGTAGTCAATTAAAACTTAATATGATTCAGAACAGCTAGTTTACAACTTGGTGGCCGATTCACACACACTGGCTTTGAGTACAGTAGCTACATACCACCTTCCACTGCATAGGCCTTCTATCACTTACCGTACCTTATTTTACCACCTTGGCCACTGAAACCTCTAAAATGATCCTGGCCTCCCGTTCCCTTCTATCCCCTGCCATTTCTGGATGACAGGAAGACAGGAAGATACCAGTCTGAAGATGTCTTTCATTACTTGGTCTTCCAAGTGGTCGTCTACCTTGTAGTACTCCTTGGAATACACTTTTAAAATTTGACCTCAGAGTTTTTGTTTTATTACTCTGAGATTTGACGTATCTTCTCTCCACCATACAAAGCCTGCCCAGCCCATCCGAGATCCGAGCCTTTTGGTCTACATTTGGAATGTACCCCTTTATCAAGTTTCTGAATCATACAGTAGGTACTACTGGGATAGTTATGATATAGTATGAATCGATTTTGGTTTCTACTGACACCCTGCAGCTTACTGTGGTCAGTTTTCTGGAGATCTACTACACCGGTTGACATTTTCATTACGAATAAAATGTGTACTGTATGCAGTCATACTTATATTCAAACATCTAGAAAAAGATGTATCAACACGTAATCCACTTATATCTTAAAGGATTAAGCAGTTATACTTAGACGGATTGCATTTATGACAAAACTTGATTATACGTTTAAAATGTTTAGCTCAAAATGACACAATCTCCTGATAACATAGATCAGTTACGGTAGAAAATAAACTGCATTATTTTAAAGTAAAATAATGTGTAGGCAAACTCTGACGATCAATATTTTTGTATACAAACAACTTGTAACATAAACATTTCAATGACAGTTAGAAACCAGCTGTTAGTTAAACCACCACTAAAACGACTTTAACTCGTCCGTCGGCTGCTAGACTTTTTGAAAATTAAAACTTAATTTCTAAAAAACAGAAACCTTAAACTAAAATTATGGCTTCGACATTCCCTAGTTCTCAAAATTATCTTTCTTTCAAAACAAAAATCATGAAAATCCGTCAAGTGGTTAATTCAGAATCGTGAAATAAAAAAACCCTCTTTCGTTTTAATATATAGGATTTTTGTAAATTTTCTTTAACAAACCTATTGCAAATACATATTTTTTCAATTTAGATCCATACAATACTATAAATTTTGATAAAAATGGATAAGAAATAATCAATCTGAATAAAAATTAGAAGTTTGAAAGATTTTAGTATTCAGACTGTAAGGAATATTCCCTAGAAACATCGCAAGATATACTACTACTGGTATACACACAGATCAAATAACAACGGAAAAGATTAAGTGATGATTTATTAAGCAATTAACCATAAATACAAATGAATTCCAACAAATTATGCTTGCTCCATCATGGAAAAACATTTTTAGCAATATTATTACCCAAATATAAAACTCCTAAAGTATAAGTGTCAAGATTTCCACAATTTATTTCCGAAAACGCCGAATGAATTTGTACTTGCAAACATAATTTGTAAAAATTATGGATAAATCGAAATAGTTAAGATCTATGATACAAATCTGTAAAGTGCTGTACAAGGTTACACCCAACTCTCCCCACTAAGTACCTCCTCACAACGGGGATCCAAGCCTTAATCATGACAAACGATGTCACCAAAGCTTCAGTTAAGCCTCAAGTAACCAACGACATCCCAGCAACCTGTGTACAGTAACTGATACTGTGTAAACCAGCTGAGTGAAATCCTACGGAAAATAAACTTAATACCTTTTCCTCAATTTGCAAAAATCTGTTAACAAGATATACATTTCCGAGGCTAACACAACAGAAGCAAGAAATCAATTAGCTAATAATACGCTGATAGAAGTTATTTTATAAGTTGTATCACCATAAGTCTCTCGAAATAGTTTTTCAATATTTTTAAAATCGTGGTAAACCCAGTTTTCACTCGACAACCTATAAACAGTGAGCGAACGACTCTAATAGCCTATTTACCACAGCTGTGGTTCCCTCAATTGGTTTCAAGCCGTAAACAAGGTACAGTGGTTGGAAACGAACAAAATAACTGTTAAGCTTCCCCACAGTCGGTACGTGGGGTTACCGTTACGATAATGTACGAAGTAAATCCATTCGAATTCCATACATTCATTGTAGATATACTAACTTGGAAAAATCCTCTCAATAAGTTTTCATCATCTAATTTTATAGTGATTAGTTTGTTTGGTTTACAGAATAAGTGCAAAAAGTGCAATATTTATCGCATGTATTGCATAGATAAGGGAATTATTTTATCTGTAAGACAATCATAAGATTCGGTCTTTTGATTCTACCAAAGGGAAAAGTACAGATTAACAAGTTCTTATATTTGAGTTCAGTGAAATTTGTGTGAAGTAATTCATTGTGTTGAATTTTATATTTTATAATAGTAAATACACCTTCATTGATATTAAGTATCTTAATATCAGTATTAAAAATTAAAACATGTTTTTCTTAAAATCGTTGAAATAGCAATACTTTATTGTTTAATAGTTAATTATCATTTTCCATGTACAGGATCACAATAAAACATTTCTGTTCCGTAAATTTAATTGATTATCATAAATAGTTGCAATCAGAGAAAAGTAGGACGTTAACATTGGAGCTGAGGTAAAAATATTAAAGTTTGGTAAGTAAACGGAAAGTCTGACATCTATCAGAAACATGCCTGTACCAAAAGTATTATAAGTTGTTACAAGTAAAATATTATTCCGCTACTTTATTTTACTTGAATTCCATACTATAACAAGAGCTTTTTATAAAACAATCAGTACAGTATGTAAAGCCAAACTTTTAAAATTGCATTACATTTTCATGTAATGCATTACAACTATGCACATTTATAATCTGCTATGATGTGAATAAGAGGATACACAAACCACCCCTTG